TGTTAGTGTATGTTTCATGACGTGGAAGAGGCTTGCATGAGACATTTATTAATGACATGACAACGTATGCAGGGTTTCATCACCGATCATGAGAGAGCCTTAGAGGATCTTTTTGGTGACGAAGAGTCTTCTCGAAAAGGTGACGCATGCTTGAATGTGATGGCATCTCGAATTGCCACAGTCTTTGCTTCACTTCGGGTACCTATCATTATTCTCACGACTAGTGACTATTATCTGCGGATGGATCTTCTGAATCATTTTGGACTTTACAGGAATTTCCATCAGTACGATACCGAGCGGCAAAGTCACTTGACGCATCAACAATGACAACTTTGCGCGATTTAATTCCCACCAAGCTTGCAGCTGGAATCTGGAATTGTCTGGCAAAACATAAACAGTCGATTGAAAATTTCCCTCAGACTGAAACATGCGAGCTGCTCATCCTCGACAGATCCATAGACCAGGTGGGTTCTTCATTTGCATTTTGTCAATCAAGATTGCATCCATCTACTTGTGGAGCTCATGCTTCCTCCTCTAGATGTGTTATATGATTAGCAGCATTTGCTTGTTTTGAATAGATAGCCCCTGTTATACATGAGTGGACTTATGATGCTATGTGCCATGATTTACTGAACATGGAAGGGAACAAATATGTACATGTGGTAAGTTTCACTCTTTGCCGTATACGCTATTCTGATTTTCTGGTGGCTTTCGTCGGTGTGATGCTGTTTTAGTTTTTAGATTCCAAGTAAGTCAGGTGGCCAGCCAGAGAAGAAAGATGTGCTCTTAGAGGAACATGATCCTATTTGGCTAGAGCTTCGACATGCACATATAGCAGATGTGAGTCTCATGCTTTAGGTCTTTATTTCGCATTGGTAAATGGTAATGAAAACAAAAGTGATACCTCTTGACCTGATTTTTCATCAGGCTAGTGAAAGATTGCATGATAAGATGACCAGTTTCTTATCGAAAAACAAAGCTGCTCAGCTTCAGCATGGTAAGAGGTGGGTATTACTTCTATTTTTGTAGTAATTGTAACTAGAGGTGGGTATTACTGTTGGATTATGTCCTCAGTTTGATCATACTTTGACATAGCTGTGTTGATCGACGTAGTATTAAGTACTTTGAATTGAACTCGCCTTTTTTATATTTTCTTTGTCTCTTTTCTTAGAGATGGAGGTGAGCTTTCTACAAGGGATTTGCAGAAGATGGTTCAAGCATTGCCACAGTACAGTGAACAAATTGACAAGCTCTCACTCCATGTAGAGGTACGTACTTATGTGCAACGCTCCCTTGTCTTTTCTTAAGATATGCCTCTAGTTTGGATCTTTAAATTTTAGAACTTTCAACTTTTGGTGGTTCACACACAATTACTCTAATAATATTCATCAATTGATTAACATTTTATAGGATTTAGTGTCTGAAGAGCTCTCTGCAGAATGCTTAGAATTATCGCTTCCTTAACTTTTTATCTGAGCGTCAATTCACATTACTCTTTCTTATCATTGCAGATTGCTAGAAAAATCAACGACCTTATCAGAGAGCAGGGACTTCGGGAGCTTGGACAACTTGAACAAGACCTTGTTTTTGGTGATGCTGGAATGAAGGATGTGATTAAATATTTGAGTACTCAAGAGGTTTGCATCTAGTTAACCGTCATTGCATTACTGTAATATCTCATGAGACATTAAGCTGTTAAGCTTTATGTATTTTCAAATTCCTGTACAGGAGGCAAGTCGTGAAGGTAAGTTACGCCTGCTGATGATCCTCGCAACAATTTACCCTGAAAAGTTTGAAGGTGAAAAGGGTCAAAACCTAATGAAGGTACTTGTGGTTTTAATGCTTCTGGATCTTTGTTTGGTTCTCATCCACCACATCTAAGGCTTTATTGCTTTTGTTTCTAGCTGGCAAAACTCACATCTGATGACATGACTGCTGTAAATAATATGAGATTGCTTGGTTCAGCCGTCGATGCTAAAAAAAGTGCTCCGGGAGGTTTCACTTTGAAATTCGATCTCCACAAGGTAACATCTTCTATCTGAACGTTCCATCTATATATTAAAATATGTGAATCTTCTTAACATTCTTTGTTAATGGCTGCAGAAGAAACGAGCTGTCAGGAAAGAGCGCCAAGAGGAAGCAGCATGGCAGTTATCTCGTTTTTACCCCATGATTGAGGTTCACTCCCTTAAACTTTGTATAGACAGGACTTGAGAATTTTGAGCATTATACAAGTTTCTTCATGTGTTGACTGTATTTTTCCATATCTGGAATTTGCCAGGAACTCGTTGAGAAACTGAGCAAAGGAGAATTGCCAAAAGAGGATTTCCCATGTATGAACGAGCCAAGCCAGAGTTTCCATGGATCAACGGCGCTTTCTTCATCAGCAAGTAGTAGTCAAGGTCAAGCTGCTCAGTCTATGAGATCAAGACGCACACCAACTTGGGCTAAACCTCGAGGTTCAGATGATGGTTACTCAAGGTAAGAATCTTTTAAACAACACAACAACGAATCAAGGATCGATCCGATATACAGTATTGAATAAAACTTAAACATAAGTTGAGTCTTCGTCGATCTTCTTAGCTTGTTTGCAAGGACTTTGTGTTAGCAAAGTAACAGTAACCTATAATTCTGTCAAAGCACGCGTCTCATTTTTCATAAGCAGAATCCACTTGTTGACTTCTCTTAAAACTATTTTACCTTCTTGCAGTGATTCCGTGCTGAGACATGCATCAAGCGATTTCAAGAAGATGGGACAGCGAATATTTGTGTTTATCGTTGGTGGAGCGACAAGATCAGAGGTAAGAAGCTAAGGCAATGCATAGAACCAACATATATTATGATGATCTCTGACTTATGTACTATTTGATTTTCAGCTAAAAGTATGTCACAAACTAACCACGAAGCTCAAAAGAGAAGTGATCCTCGGCTCCACAAGCCTCGATGATCCTCCACAGTTCATAACGGTAAGCGAAACACATACTTCACATTCCGAGATTTGGCAAAACTATGAATCACGTCTCACTTAAACTAATCTTTCTCTGTTCTTGTGTCCTACAGAAACTGAAGCTTCTGACTGCAAATGAGTTATCTATAGACGATCTCCAAATATGAAAAATCCAGAACTCGAATCAAACATTTGCTATCTGATCTCCCAATCTAATTTGTAACCAAGTAATAGACATGAAAAAACAAGGAGTGGATAAAAAAATCATCAGATTATGAGATCGTATTGTTTGTCGTTCTAAAGATGTAAAGCAACTCATAAAGTTGACTTCAAGATCTTTTGGCTATTGTCTTGTTAAATTCGATTGTGTAAATTACCTAAATGGTTTCTTTGCTTCCTCAGAAGTCTTCCCTTTCCGGGCATTCGATTCTTTTGAATCATAACAATCAGTCATTGTATAAATAAAATAAAATTGCCCAAAGACTGATGGACTGATTCGTGATAAAATTAGCACTGGTTTCTTTGCTTCATCAAAGTCTTCCCTTTCCGGGCATTCGATTCTTTGGCTTGGAGGGGATCTGGTACCGGGAAGGTGATGGACTGTTTATCAATCGCTAGTGGACTTGCACTACTCGGATTCCTCATCTACTACGTCATCGGCGGCGTCGCAACCATTTTGGGCGGTGTCTCGTGTCTACTTGTTGCCGTTACGTTGTATTCGTAAATTGTCATGTGGCTTTGCTTGTGTCGGACTAATTTGGTTACAATTTGTAAAACCATTATGTAATGTTTATTAGCAGTCAATGATGATGTCTCGTAATTGTGCTATGCTCCATTGTTACCTTTATTAGACTCAGAATCTTACTCTTTCGGGTCATTCGAATCTTTTGAATTCATCATAACAATCAGTCATTTATAAGAGAGCAAGATTGTTTAAACACCAAGAAGTTTTGATGAAGTTTTAGTTCAAAAACTATATTGGCTATGGATTGGTAGAGTCTCTCTGGTGAGATGTTCTTCAGCTTTCCTCTTCTTCTTTGTTACTGAGACCAAACTCTCCACATACACCCAACGTATCACACTCGGATCTCGGCCATCGATCTCATACAACATCATCAACATATCAAAAACTAAGCAACAGAAAGGAAGATGCACATGAAGAAAAAGAGTGGGAATGAAATAAGTTGTGAAGTAACACCTTTGTTATTTAGATAGATGGATAGATATAGAGAGAGCCTCTTCTGGTCCGTTGGTCCATTATAGAATCTTCTTTGCCCAGTACATTCTGCAAGTAACGTTCTTAAATACCATCACTATACCATTACAGTGGCTTCAAAAACAGAGCCAAAATATTAGATATATATATGTATGTTTTTTAACTTGCCTCATGAAACCGTGCATTTTCCCCTTGTCGTCTAAAGATGTAAAGCAACTCATAAAGTTGACTTAACGATCTTTTGGCTATTGTCTTGTTAAATTCGATTGTGTAAATTACCTAAAATCGTTTCTTTGCTTCCTCAGAAGTCTTCTCTTTCCGAGCATTCGATTCTTTTGAATCATAACAATCAGTCATTTTATAAATAAAATAAAATTGCCCAAAGACAGAGCAAGATCGTTTAACAAGACCACTAAAACACTCTATAGAGCCTACCTTTAGACAGTTGCAAAGTCTCAATATTCGTTAGACAACAATGAATTCAGGAAGCTCACTAGCTCAGCCACAACACCACAAGAGAATACAAGTGAAGATAAAATCATTTTGCAACACCGAACCAGAAACACAATCTGGAGCTGTGGACTGAGAGTGGAAGCGTTTTGATGTGTGCCAAGCACGTGACACATGGAAAGGAAAAGTCACGTTGGGTACTAAAAAAAAAAGGAAAAGCTAAAGCGACGTCGTTTGATATTAATTTTTTTGTTATATATATATATATATTTTATTTACATCAATGTTGGTTATAAATATGATGCTCGCTCGGGCCGAGAGAAACAATTAACCGATAAACCCTAATTTGACAACATCTTACTCTTCTCTTCTCGAAGCAATTCAACAATGGCGAATTCCAAAATCGCACCAGAGAGCTTCAATTCCGGTTCGATGGAGCGGCGAGCGGCAACACCGGCGGATTGGGGTGAAATGGTTAGGACGATGCACGGTGTAATGGTGGCTTTCTGTATTTTCATCTACCTGATTTTCGAAAAGACGGACTTTGGCGCCGCCACAGGAGCTCCGATACCGGCGGCGATTGTACCCGTACTTGCCTGTGCCTGGTCTAGCTGGGCAGCGTTTTTCTTAGCGGCTTTGGCTTGGAAGGGATCTGGTACCGGGAAAGTGATGGACTGTTTATCAATCGCTAGTGGGCTTGCACTACTCGGATTCCTCTTCTACTACGTCATCGGCGGCTACGCAGTCATTATGCTCGGTGTCTCGTGTCTCATTCTTGCCGTTGCCTTGTACTATTCGTAAATTGTCATGTGGCTTGCTTGCTTGTGTCGGGCAAATTTGGTTACAATTTGGCATTATTTAATGTTTATGAGCAGTCAATGATGTCTCGTAATTGTTTCCTTTCTCATAATCTTACGTCTTTGGGGTCATTCGAATCTTTTGAATCATAACAATCAGTCATTTATAACAGAGCAAGATCATTTAACAACAAGAAGACGTTTAAAAACTATATTAGCTAATGGATCGGTAGAGTCTCTCTGGTGAGCTGTTCTTCAGCTTTCCTCTTCTTCTTTGTTACTGAGACCAAACTCTTGACGTAAGTGATATAACTCTCCACGTTGAATTTTCTCTTGCAACCTGCGTAGTTCATGTACCGTATCTTCCCAAACACCGGTCTCTCTTTCCATCCCTAAAACACCATCATAAAGCACAAAGAGATAAGAAAAGGACTCTGCTTTCACTTATAGTCAAATTATTGGGAAGGAGAAAACGAAAGAACCTGGTCATGAACGCCACAAATGGACCACATACACCCAACGTATCCACTAGGGTCTCGACCATCGATCTCATACTACATCAACATATCAAAAGCTAAGCAACAGAAAGGAAATACATACACATGAAGAAAAAGAGTGGGAATGAAATAAGTTGTTAAGTACTACCTTGTTATTTAGATAGATGGATATAGAGAGAGCCTCTTCTGGTCCTTTGGTCCATTCTAGAATCTTCTTTGCCCAATACATTCTGCAAGTAAGGTTCATACTTACCATTACTACCATTACAGTGGCTTCAAAAACAGAACCAAAACTCTAGATTTTGACTTGCCTCATGAAACCGTGCATTTTCCCCTGATGTACCATCTCTACCTGTGAAGCATTCCATAGCTGTCAATTCAACACACCACAAAACATAATAAGCTTATATGCAGATAAAAATCAAAGCTATAGACAGATTTAGGAGATGATGATATGCGATGAGAGATTACATGATCTGCTGTCTGTCCCTTCTCTAACTGCTCCAACCTACAATTTCAATATCCTTCAGTGAGCATATAGACGATAGATTTTCAATCAAAAAGAATTTAAGGAAAAAACGGCTGAAACCATTACGAGTAAATGTGTTCTCTCTTATCTGAAGCATGATCCATCAATGACTTGCGTGCCCACTCCCAAGCTCCATCCAAAGAATCATAATGAGGTTGATAGTAGCAAAAGTTATCAGACAGTTCTCTTCTCACAATCAATTCTTCCAAGAATGTGTCAACCGCCTTTAATTAAGAACAAACAATGCAAACACCAAAGTAAGAGTGTGAACAAACACAGAAAACTATATATTCAATAGTATAATAGGCTTTATAAACCTGAGGGCAAGTACTCCGGACTTTACGAGCCTCTAAGGCACACCGTTGCGCTGATATCTGCCCAAAATGTAGATAAGGAGAGAGACCAGAGAGCGCTTTCGCCTTCACAGGATTGTTCCTATCCGTTGAATAATTCTTCAACCTCTTCGTCAAGAATCCATCTTTATTCCCCATCAGTACTTCCATCCCTGCAACTTCTCCAGGCACACACCACTCAATCTCAGGAACCTCTGCACCTTCCCTATACACACACATCACATAATCACCACCACTGAATCAAATGTGAATACACCGTTATAAAGCAACAACTAACCTTACAACTTTACCGATGAGGCTATCCCAATCAACCAGCGTCTTATCCATCATTTCGGCCCACTTCTTCTTCGGCGGTTCAAGTTTAGGAAACTCAATAAGGTACTCAGGTAACAGTTTGTTGATCTTGCCCCTTATTGTTCTAGCGCTGTACTCCAGTTTAACCGACGCAGCCCACATTGGAACTACATTGTGCGCATCAACTTCATGTACGGTTAACGAATCGCTCGTTCTCTTGACGACCTCATCTTTACAGCTTCTGATTTCCCGTAAAGGCGAGAAGTCGGTGACCAGATGTGATGCTCCACACTCTGTGATGAAATTTGGGATTGTCTCCTTCGCATCTCCCTGCATTGTTACATCAAAAAGTCCACCTTTTACTCAATAATGATCAACTAACCTATTGAGGTGATTTAAAGTATATAAATTTTTATCAGCATTTTGTAAAATTCGTCCCTAACCACGAAAGCCCCAAAACGCTTCATCTATCATTTCATTTCCATATAGCAAAAGAAAGTAAAACCCTAAATTCTCTCGTTGATTCCTCTGAAATTACTACCAGAAAGCAATTTATTTTCGATGGGTTTCGTGTCAGATTAAGCTATGGACTCACCTGTAGCAGAAAAAACGGAATTTGAAGAGATTCGATTTGCTGGTGAAGCTGGCGCAAACCCTTTAACATAAACCCTAACTGCCTCGCCTTTGCGCCCAGAAACTGATCGAACAAATTGAACACGACGGCCACCGGCGCGTTGGTTCTGTTTGCCAGATCAACGGCGTGGATCAACGCCCAGTTATCTCTCAGCCGTTGATCTCTGAACATCCAGTAAACAACGGGACCCACCGTTTGATTGGACGGTTGCCAAGAGCCTTTCTTTAGGACCCGAATCCGACCCGGTTGAACTGAGATTGCAGACGCCATACGAAGAAGAACAAGATGAGGATTGAGAATTTGTCGGATTTTGCTAATGTGCGCCGTTTATGCTAAGGTATCGCAGCGGAGGAGGATAAATTGCGCAGGGGGATACTCAAGCGACAAGCGCGCGTCTTCGAAAAATGGAGGGAAGACAATAACTACTGTTTTGAGTTTGAGTCTGTGGTTTGAATTGATCTACGTGGATGATACATACTCTTGACACGTGTCAATATATGATCCACGTCCTTTGCTTTGAAATATTTCTGCACAAGTACGGGCCGGTATAAACGTCTATAGAGCCCAGCAACAATAGCGAGAGACCCGAAACCCGCTCCGAGAATTCATATTTATGCATCATGCATGCATGCTGCGTTACCGTAAAACCCTACATTTCGTCTGCGATGGCTTCCGAGAATCTGGCGGAAAGTATTGTTGTTTTCGAAATAATCCAAGCAAAATCTGTGAACAAGGTTCGATTTCCCTGAAGATTTTTCATGGATTCTCCCCTGTTGACATTCTTCTCACTCTCGTCTTCCACCTTTCTATTTTCTTTTCTTTAATTTTATCTTTATGGTTGTGCTGGTTCTGTTATGATTCATGTAATTTACTTATTATAATGAAAGCCTTTTCTTTGAAAAATAAACAACTTTTAGTTTGTAATAAAATTCAGTATTACAAACTAAATAATGCTGTTTAAACAAGTGACCCAAGAAAGTTTTTATTCATAATAGTATTATAGATTATTCCCAGCATAAAGAGATCCCAACCCAATCACCAGTTACGCACATAAAAATGGCCAGCAGCAATAGCGAGACACCCAAAAACCGCTCCGATCGTTCCTGGGCCGCCAATCACGTAATACAAGAGAAACCCGAGTAGTACAAGTCCAAATGCAATCGATAGGCAATCCATCACTTTTCCCATATAATATCCTCTCGAAGGCAAAGCCAATATGAAAAACCCTCCCCAGCCGAGTGTGATAACCAGCATCGCTAAGTCATATGCAATAGTTTTTAGGTTTTCGGTGGGATTGCTTACAAGCGGCATTGGAATTTTGCCGGAGGCATCAGCTTCCTTTTTCAACGGTAAGAACACCAATATAGTTGTCAAAACAACCCCCATAACAGAGTGTATCGCCATTACGATCTCATTCCAACGCGTTGGTGATACTGGTGATACTAGTGATACTGTCACCCGATTGGTTCGCGCATTATGGTGCAAGAAAATGAACAGTGCTAATGTGAAGAGGAAAAAGGTATTATTGTTGAGATAGTAGTTATCCATCGTTGACGGTTGTGCCGCGCGCTTAGATCCTTAAATCAAAAACAATGTGTTTAGTTTATGCGTAGATTAATTCTAAACAGACGTAATCTTCTTATATGACTTCTCTTACGCGCTTGTAATTTAATTCGTTGCATATTTAGGAATGTATTTTCTCATATGTTGCATGAAAATGGAAACGCGGAAACAAAATATTCGAAACGGAAATGATTATTTTGAAAAGGATAAGATTTGAAAAAGATAAGATTGAAAACATTTTGAAATGAAATATTAAACATAAATTATAATGTTTAAAAAAAATCAACACAGACTCGGTACATAAATAATTAACATATATATCATATATGTATAATGATTTTTTTTTTGTTAAAGTGTATAATGATATATTAAACATATAAATTATATATTTAATAAAATCAACACAAATCTAATACAAAATATTAAATAGTGTACTAAAGATAAAGAAAGATCATACAATATTAACGTCAGAAATCATTTTCATTTTCACTTTTATGAATTCCATCAGCTAAAATTATTTTCATGCTTTTTGTAGAGTTGCCAAAAATGGCGAGTTTTCAATATCGGATATCCTCATTGAACGTATATTGCGTAATTAATTCTAACTACGTCTCCCCCTAATCCATTAATTTTGTTTTTCACTAATTTTGACCGCACGTGCGACAGGATGAAAAATTCAGAATTCTGTCAGTGCAACGACGTAGTTTCATCACAAGTTTTTTTTTTTTTTTATCTTTACTGCTTCTCCGACAACGTGTACTCTCGGTCTCGGAGTTTACAGTGACACGTGTCTTACTTAGAATAGAGTATCTGTGGCAGTGGATTACGGAAATCGAGCTGCCACCGCACACGAACACAGTGATCTCTAAACCACTGAAAAGATTGTAATAAGACTATTAATCTGTTATTCTTTTTAGTTGGCAAGCTGCTGTGTATGATGAAGTTTGGCAAAAAAAGAAATAGACGTTTTCGTGTCGGTACGTACTACTCTCCCACCTTCGGTCCTTCGCTAATCCTTCGCATGATCCTCTCGGCCGGTGATTAAGAATAAAAATCAATTACTCTGAAAAACATAGTCGACTGTTTGACGTAATAATGCCTTATGGGTCGTTCTTTCAGTTGACATTCTTCTCA